AAAAATGAGGAATGGAAAATCGAGGTAAGTGTTGAACATTTTGTCTTTAAGATGAATTTATCAAGCAACACCTCTCTATTCACCTAATCTCACATAGAAATCACGTTCAAGAAACAGATCCAAGAGCTCCTCACAAAAGAAGAAGAAGAAGAACAAGAGAAAATCAGAAGACTCTAGAACCCCTTGAGAAAACAGAGAGAAAACCAAATGAAAGTTAATCTCAAAACCATTCCAATCCAACAAATATCAAGGCATCGAGATTGGTAGCAGCCCCATCCAATGGCTCAGAGAAAGTAACACTTCAACTGAATGGAGAAACAACTAAATGTGTTTCAGCCAAACACGCTTTCTTACCGGACCGAGTATTGGTCTAAGGGTTTAACTGGGCTCACTTCATCAACACAATGGGTATTAGTAATGGGCCGAAGCCATATCATCATTGCCTTAGGTGGGCTGGGCTGGCATCACAGCCTCACAAGTCCTTTTACTGCTTACAATGTTCAAAGTAAGGTTCATGTTTGGATTCGTCTGCTAGTTCTTGTGTTTAATTACGCGTTTCTTGATTTAAATGAGATTAATTATGTGTATCAATTATTGAATTGTTGTTTATGTTTATTATTTAAATAAAATAAATAAAATAATAAACGTGGAGGGGTTCTTTATTTTATGTTTTTTTAGAAGTTTTAAATTGTTATGATATAATAATAAATTTTCAGAAATTCTTTCACTAATTCTTGTACATTCTTAGCAAAGATTTCTTATATCTTTTCTTCTGCCGTTTTCAATATCCAAAGCCTTGGACGAAGGAGCAAAATATTCTTACTTCTTTACTGCGAGGGAGCAGAAGTTTCACAAGGGATCCAGGCCAAATCGATGCACGAAGGATGGGAAAGGTTATTGGAGAATGACGAGCAGTATCAATGAAATCTTTGACATTGATGAATCCCGTCTCGGAAGAAACACCCTTGTTTACTTTCGAAAGACAAAACAAGAAAAAGGAATTGGCGTAAAGACTAATTGGATTATGCACGAGTTCACTGTAGATGAGCGTTTACTTCCTCTCTCAGACGGTGCATCATTGGACAAGAAGGTTTGTCATCTTTACTGAACATATATGTTAACTGATCAAATGAATTCAAGTTCGTAAAATTACTGCACACATTGTATTCTTTACAATTCTATTATATAAATTGAAATATTTTTAAAAAGTTGCTTAAATGACTAAACTATTTTGTCTCTCTATATAGGCGATGACATTGTGCTTTGCAGAATCTATGAAAATAGCGAAAATAAAAAACAAAGGAAGAATGAAATGAAAGAAGATGAGTGCATTGCACGAGGCCAATTCTACAGCAATTCAACATTGGAGCACTCAAATTCTGGCAACAAGAAAGTGTTATGGTTGAAGCTCAACCGTAACTAGAATTTACAGAAATTAAACCAATAACACCAATAATTGCAGGCAATCAGCTGGGATTTAATAACCCAAGCTGTAATTTCTATTAATTGAATGGAAATTACAGTAACAGTGAGAAAT